AAGACCAGGTGCTGCCAAGATTGTAAAGCAGCGGATGGCTGGTTTTGAAGTATTGAACTGTATCGAAATTATCAGATCTTTTTTGACACATTGAGGTTATTAGATCATGAAAAGGATACGCTTCCATTGATCACAGCTCAAACCAATCCATACCCACTGTACCTTGTCTCATCCTGCCTCCACCGAGGAAAAATCCCTCGGCCCCAACATAGAACAGATCCCCTCCCCTCCCTCCACCTCATCCACGAAGGCAACCAATCCCCTCCTAGAGGCTGCCTTTGCCCACCCCTTGTCCCTGTCTGCCCCCGCTGGGGTTGAAGGCGACCAACTCTCCAACCCCGGCCCCGGACTCAGACAATCCCCAATCTGCCCTACTCCCAATAGGGCTACTGCCTCCCTGTAGAATAAGGCTCCCCTATAACAGACCCCTGGGTTAATTTTTCGGGGACAGCTAACTAGTAGTCTATACCCACAACTGGCCAGCCCTATCTCTCCTTCCCCTAGCTTACCCAAGGCCAGGCGGAGCCCAGGCTGACAGTCCTACCATCCTTCCCCTGGCTTGTCCCCTAACTTAGGCCAGACGGATCTCAGACCTGCTGTGGGTAACTAACGTATGTCTGTACCCTGGAGTCTCAAACCCCCCCTGCCTACCAAAGTTCCAGCCATAACCTTCGAAGTCCTATCCCCACTGAAGCGTCTGCAAAATTCAATGTTCAAAATCCCCAATTAGGAAAAAAAACGCATGAAAAAACGAAATAAAGAAAATTCACCTTACCCCAATCAGGGGGAACAGGCAGGCCAAAACCTAGTGGTGAAATTACTAAACAATCCCAACATGAAAACGTTATGTCTGAAATTACTACTACAAATAGTAGTAATCAAGAAGTAAGTAATCAAGAAGTAGGTAATCGGGATATAGGTAATCAAGATATAGGCAATCTAGATGTAGGTAATCAAGATATAGCTAATCAGGATGTAAATATTAATGACTATTGGATAATTGGGTAGCCAGAAACGGTACCCTGAGACTAAAAGGTTTTCAGATGATATTAATATTGATGATGGTAGTGATGATGATGGAAATGTTATAGATGACTATTTAAGTGAAACAGTAGCCTAAAGATAGTGGTGGCGATCAACTTCGCCTATAGATGATAGCTGTGAGGATGATAGTGTTGATGATCGTGATACAACAGATGATAGCTATGAGGATAATAGTGCTGATGGTCGTGATACTACAGATGGTGAAAATCACTTTAGTAATGACTAAACACGCATAGATATGTAATGATGATGAGGATGTCAACTAATTATCCATTATGTTGATGACGATCGCCTTGCCGCAAGTGATGATGACTAGTAATCTTGATGACTACTTGCTGATAGTGTTGACCAACTCGAGCTTGATGACGGACCGCGCTCCATGCTGTGATAACTCCGATCTGCAAGCTTGGCGTACTTCAGACTATGAATTACACACTTCCATGTCACCTTGGGCTATCTCCACTGCGATCTCCCTCAAGCGCCTTGTTGCCACTTCACCTTGCTACGTGGCGGCGCGGGAATCTTGCGTGGACCCCGTGGAACGGGGCGGTCCCCTGGACACGTCAACCAGTGACGTGGCGAAGACCAGGACCTAGGCTCACGGCGCGTGTGCTAGGCGCAGTCCCCTGCCCCCGTCGTCCTCATTGTCCGATACACTCGAATTTCATGGTGCGCCCTAAATCTTCGATATCTCATGATCCACTGGGCCATTTGATCTGAAATTTGGACCACCTCAGCTCCTCAACATAGACCACCGGTGGTCCAATTTTCAGCTCAGGGCGCGCGCCCAATCGCGCGCAATCGTTGAGCGCGCGCGCGCTATTTTCCTTGCTGCGTGCAGTTTTCCAGCGCACGCGGCTCCTCTCCGTGGCGGTAACCTTGATTGATGATTGATAATGCCGGGTGGTAACTGACTATACTGCACCCTAAATTTGTAGAATTGGTTATTCACTTCATCTCCTTTACTTTTATACGAGGTGAGCTAGTGGTCATGTTAAATTTATCGGACGGATGTTAGTTCGTGTGAGGCTTAAAACTCCATTAGCTATACCTTTTTAAATGAGCAGACCGCTGCAGACGTGTAGTTATGCAAGGGGCTTAAACCTCGCACGACGTAACATCCGTCTGATAGTTCACTTCATACTAGTTTATAGGACCTTTTTAATTGAGCAGGCGTGTAGCATTTATGGCTCTTAGTTTTTTTTTTAGAACGAGAGTGAACGAATGCGAGGGACTCTCCTTCTTTCTCTCTCTGTCTCTTGCGTGCTGGCACTTAACTTGAAGTGTGCACTCGTCCACTCGCGTTCTCAAAAAAAAATATAGGACCCTTAGCATTGTGCTCCTTACAGCCTTGCAGTCAGCCAATTATTTGCACCTCCCTTTGGTTGGATGGCATATTGGTTGACCACGGGCACGCGGAACACAGCTCCAAGGGTCCCATTTTGCATTTTGTTTTTCGGAGAGAGAGAGAGAGAGAGAGAGAGAGAGAGAGAGAGAGAGAGAGAGAGAGAGAGAGAGAGAGAGAGAGTTGTGGGGAAATATAGACACATCAGAAGCCTAAAAAGGCGCTTCGAGAGGTTGATCAAAGGGAAGGGAAGAAGAATGCAAGGATGGATGTGTGAAAAGAAACTCAGTAGGGGATGGACTGCTCAATGACAAGGATAGGTAACAGACCAGTTGGGAGATGGCTGAACAAGGTATGCGCAAAATGGGAGGATTAGCTGCGTGGCACGTGCAGAACTACAAAACGACGATGCCATCGCCGTGTCTGCCTTGAGGATAACCTGGATGAGCAGACCAAGTGCTACCAGCAAGTCTGCTCTGGAATAAAGTGACTGAGTAGAGCAGGCCAGCTGAACATCTGCAGCTGGATATTTAATATCTGATAACATCTCATCCAAAAGTACAAATCATATAACTGCGTGTTACATTGAGGCATGACCTCGCAAATTCCTTCCCCCCCCCCCACACACAAAAAAAAAAAAAAAAACCCTTGCAAGCTTTCCAATTGGGAGCCGCAAGGTGAGCAAAAGGAGTCCACAATCTGAATCCCCCTGTTCTGAGAGCTTCCACCTCAGCAAGCAAAAAACTGAAAAACCCTGAAATGTATTTCAGTATTTCCTTCCCAAATGAATCTTAACTGGCCAGGGCTTATCCATGATCACGATGGTTGATTAAACCACTAGTACCTCCGCCAGTGTTGGGAACATAGGGAAAAGTGGCAGTTTTCCCAAACTCCTAAAGATTCGGAGGTCGGGCCCGACGACGACTGCCATTGATAAATCTGATCGGCGGTTGTCACTTCGTTTCAGCCTCCGAAAAAGTCAGAGGACCAACCGAGGCCCGCTATTTTCCCACGCGGCAAAGGTCCAGGGCACCTGGTCAAGAGGAGCAATACTCCGCTTCCCTCCTCATAAAGTGATGTTAGAGCTGATCGATCTATGTGTCTATATATTGGCACATACCTATGTACTAAAAGAGCATACTTTACGATAACAAACGATAAAAAAATACACAAGGCAAACATGAAGAGCACACTGAAAGCAATCATTTTTATCATTCTTATTTTAACTCCCCCTTCACTATGCCTCTCACGTACAAGGCTCGCCACGTTGATGAAGTTGAGAGCGAACTGCCCGCATCCCCGAATGCCATCACTGCCCTGTATATCTATATCTATATCTATATCTATATCAATATCAATATCAATATCAATATCTATATATCTATACATATATTGTATAATTGTCACATATCTATCAAACTTAAAGAGTGCACTTTGCGAAGCAAACGATAAAAAACATTGTTTCCTTGTGAAAGCCATAAGCTGGGAACGATGGCCGAGGGTTAACGATTAGCATGAGATGGGGACCACCACCAGCAACACCATGTGCTCACCAGATGTGTATGATGTGTATGTAACAAAAAAGACCAACCAGATGTGAAGGCACGTCTTTCCAATTTGGATAGCAATGCGAAGATCCTCTTTTCTGGGAAGCTGCAGTGGAAGCACCCTCTTTCCCGATTTGGAAAGCTACACATATGTCTCTTCGAAAATTTCCACGATAAATGGAGACTACCAGCCAGAGAAACACTTAAACCCTAAACTGCTAATTTAGTGGCAGCAAGCAGTAAAATTCAGGCCCACAATTTCAATCAATTTCAATGTGCCAGGACTCCTTGCACTTCACTTTAGACTCCAAATTTAGACTCTAAAAGTTTTCTGTTCAGATTCCAGTCCAGGATGTACAAGGCCTCGCGTCGAAAGAATCATCGAACTAAGTACTGGTAATTATCATCAAGTCAAACATCGAAACAAAGTTTCAGGATCGAGCAGCGCTCTACGCCCCGATGACACGGAAACCCTGCGCAACCTTGTCCACTCCCAGCAGCAGTCCCGCACAAGACGAAGAACCGCTCCTGCTCGCACACCAAGCAGCAGTCCTGCAAAATATGAAGAGTCCATCCTGCTCGCACACCAAGATGCGGTCGTGGACAAGACGGCCAGTTCGTCCCTGCTCTCACACCAAGCAACAGTCCTGGACACGACGAGGAGCCGCTCCTCTTGCCTTCTACACATCTGCTGACACCAAAAATCTTCTGGCCCCTTGTCAATCACAAGGAACAGTCCTGGTCTCAAACAAAGAATCGGTCCTGCTCTCAAACAAAGAATCGGTCCTGTGGTCTCAACCCAGAATCGGTCCTGTGGTCTCAACCCAGAATAGGTCCTGTGGTCTCAAACCAAGAATCGGTCCTGTGGTCTCAGACCAAGAACCGGTCCTGGTCTCAAACCAAGAATCGGTCCTAGACTCATCACCCCCCCCCCAACCCCCCCCCCCCCCCCCCCCCCCCCCCCCTCGCCAGAAATTGTGGACGCTATTCACCCTGAGTGCCAATCCGGTCAACCGTGATTTGCCTCCTTGTTTCCTGCGCCAGAAGGATCAAGGAGATGCCACAGCCTCTCTCCATCCCCTCTGGCTATCCTCCTCCCCCCCCCTCTTCTCTCAAACCAAGAATTGGTCCTGGTCTCAACCCAGAATCGGTCCTGTGGTCTCAAACCAAGAATCGGTCCCGTGGTCTCAGACCAAGAACCGGTCCTGGTCTCAAACCAAGAATCGGTCCTAGACTCATCAACCCCCCCCTACCCCGCCGGAAATTGTGGACCCTATTCGCCCTGAGTGCCAACCCGGTCAACCGTGATTTGCCTCCTTGTTTCCTGAGCCAGAAGGATCAAGGAGATGCCACAGCCTCTCTCCATCCCCTCTGGCGTGTGGTCTCAGACCAAGAACCGGTCTTGGTCTCAAACCAAGAATCGGTCCTAGACTCATCAACCCCCCCCTACCCCCCCCCCCCCCCCCGCCGGAAATTGTGGACCCTATTCGCCCTGAGTGCCAATCCGGTCAACCGTGATTTGCCTCCTTGTTTCCTGAGCCAGAAGGATCAAGGAGATGCCACAGCCTCTCTCCATCCCCTCTGGCTATCCTCCTCTCCCCCCCCTCGTCTCTGTATCAACCCTGCATATATCACCGCCCCATCTAAAGCAGAGTACTGATAGTAGAGCAGTGACTTATCTTTGAAGACAGAATACTTGCATATAAAAGCTACATCCCCCACCTCCCCACCCCAAAAAAAAAGAAAAAAAGAAAAAAGAAAAGAAAAGAAAGAGTACTAGAGAACTTAGAGAGCAACGTGGTGAACCCGTCTTGTGTCATCTATCAGCTAAACTACAAGAGTTATATCTGTGATTGCCCTCCAATGCTCTAGGAGGCTTGGGACTGCATCATTCGCTGTCTAATCTCTGTTGAAGATATGTCCTTTCGAAATACAGACTCCGGAATGGCCTTGAAGATGCTAGCCAACTCAGGTGGAAGCTCAATGCCCGACAGAACCTGAAAAAACAAGAAAAGAACCAACCAGCAAAAAGATGTTCAGCATTATTTATTTTAATATGTTTATCAAACAGACGATATCGGCAGAGTGGTCGCTCATGGTGCTGAACAAGGGCTGTCCAGCAAAAGCTTAAGGTTGAAGACATTCTGTGGGCACTGGGACAGATTCCCTGATTTACTCTCAGTCCGACCAGGGACTGGACCGGAGCCTGATTTTATTTTTTTAACTTTTTTTCCCCTCTGAGTCCCTCCGACAAACTGAGAGTAAATCAAATCAGGATGCAGTCCTGTCCCTGGGACGAGGAAGAAAAATGATTTTTTCACCTTTTTCTTCCTCTGAGTCCCTCCTGCAAACTTGGTCCTTGAAGCTTCTCTTGCTGTGGGTCTTGCATTGAGCTTCGTGTAGTGTGCACAAGTAGGCACATGCCAGGACATTTACTTCCACTAGAAGTTTCTAGTGCTGCGCTTGTGTTTTGTCTTGTACTGATCTTCATTTAGTATGCAGAAGCGGTTGTGCGACTGCGTTGCATTTGTCTGCATTTAGTATGTGGTACGTGGCACGTGACTGCGCTTTTTGGTGCTTTTTTGGTGCTCTGGTTTTATGTGGCTGTGCAAAGGGGCAAGGAATACGAGCGAGAGGGATAGACAGAAAAGCAAGTTGCAAAATCACGCAGAAGTCCAGATAGTCATGTACCAAGCAGAGAGCTCAAATGCACCAAGATTCCATTGTTCCGATCCTGGTCATTCCCAAAGTGCAAATTCACAATGAAAGACAATGCCACCCAATTGCGAAAGAAATGAAAGCACTTGCAAAGAGATAGAGACCAAAGAAGAGAGAAAGAAGAAGAAGAAGAAGATGTACACCAACAAGACCAATGACAAATCCCCCTTCTCTCTCCACCTTCCTCCTCCTCCTTCACTTCGCCAATCTTATTCTTCTTCAATAATAATAATAACAACGAGTGGATGAACCAGAATCAATATCCGAAGTTCCCTCTTCCTGTTGACACAACAACATGTCGACCATAGCTAAGGCTTCCCCCTTCTTCCTCCTCTCACATACCTAGGCTATGGCGGAACTACTAAGGGCTCTGCCCTCCTGTGCAAAGGACAACGCAAAGCAGCTATGTCGCTGCAGTCCTGTCCAAAGGACAACCCAAAGCAGCTATGTCGCTTCTCACTAAGCCGCCATGCCTGACTCTGCCTCGAGCTTCCTTGGTGTGGCACTACCCCAACTGGGGCCTTCCAGATGTAGCGCTCAACAAGGTGATGAAGATGGTGTCCACCATAACCAGGTAGGTACCTCGCCACTATCCTCCTTCGCCCCCTTCTTCCTCCTACTCAGGCTGGGCTACTCGCCATAGCCAGGCTGAGCGCCCAGCTGCTCTTCTCCTCCAGGCAGCGCTTCCCAAGTCCAGCGCTTGGCTCCAGCAGCATGTCGCCAATCCTTGCATACAGCAAATGAGGAGGAGCTGCTTGCTCTCGAAGATATAGCGGCCTACTGGCCTCTTGGGCGGTGACTTTTTAGGCCGAGTGGCCTCCCAGCAACCGGTACCTCCTCCCTTTCAGAGGGAAACATCATTGCAGGCTCTGCTATCGTCCGGGCAGGCCTTAGACTCAGGCTACTTGGCCTGGTACCGGCCTACCTCTAACCTACCGCTACTGGGCCTCTAAAACTGCCAACTTTGTCTTCTTCTGCTCGGCCTCCAGTACCCGACACTTTTACCACTACTTGAGTGGTACCGGCCTACCTGCTACTTGAGTGTTTTCCCCGCTACAACCCTCAAAGTCACAGCCACAGGTAAGTACCGGCCCTGCGGGGCCTTTCAACCAACAAGTACCTTTGCGGGTCACACACAACAGGCACGCAGACACCACAAATTTGTCTTCATTGTGTGGTGGCTATGTCTACTTCGATTGTGCATGTGTGTGACCGGGTACACCGGATCACGGGGAAAAACGAGTACCCGTGTTGGGGTGGGGTTAAGTGCTCATCTTGGGGCTTAACTTTCACCCCGGTCCACTTCACCGTTTGGTTGAGTGTTTGCCTCCAGATAGGGAGGTCACGTGTTCGATCCTTGAACAGTGCGGACTTGTAAAAAATGTATTTACAAATGCATTAGAGC